TACCTCCTCTGACTCCATTGATGGTTCCAAACCTTTGCACCCAGAGGCCATGGTTGACTGGACCAGTGGTCTGGAGATGAAGGAAACAGGAAAGGAGACGGACACAGCCGGAGCCCCTTTAACTCAACAATCAGGTGAATCAACTAATGATCAGGAGAAGTTTAACAAATTTACAGCAACAACACCAACGAGTTCAATAGTTGCCCCAGTATCTCCTGACAAGGAAGAAATAGTGGACCGTCAAGCATCAGACAGTCAGATAGGAGAACATATTGAATTTAGAGAGCAACTAGGACTTATAATTTCAGTAAAAACTCAACCTGACTCAAACAACCATGAGAAATGTGATGAAATTGAAACATCAAGTCAAAGTGGAGAAGCAGCTCTTTCAGTAAAGGAGGACAAAGAAGAACCTGGTACTACTGTAGTGGAACTAGAACCTTATATGTCAACCAAACAAGAGTCAGAAAGTCCTGAGATCCTATCAAGCTTTCATGCTAAAGAGCTTGAGGCAGATAGTTCAGTCAGCTCTGTAATGACATTTCAAGCGTCTGAGTTTGTAACAAGAGAGTCTCCAGAACAAACAGTTGTTCAGTGTTCAGAAAGAGACATGGATGCTGCTACCAAGGAGCAGCTTTCTACTCCCTCTGACTCCATTGATAGTTCCAAACCTTTGCACCCAGAGACAATGCTTGAATGGACCAGTGATCTGCAGATGAAAGTAACAGAAGAACTACCAACAAATATTGACATGTCAGATAATAATTCTGTTGTAGAACAATTCCGTGAACTGGGTGAAAATAGTGGACAAAAAATCGTTGAGGATCAGGCTCTAGAAACCAATAAAGGTGCCACAATCATTCTTGATATAAGTGAAGCATCTATAGATGAATCAGATTCTCGCTCCTATAATGTCGAAAAATGTACCTTAGGCTCAGATGCTAAAGAGTTTCAGGAAGATATTTCAGTCAGTTCTGTGATGCTGTATCAGGAATTTGAGGTTGGACCAAGAGAGTCTCCAGAACAAACAGTTGTTCAGTGTTCAGGAAGAGACGTGTATGCTGCTATCAAGGAGCAGCTTTCTTCTCCCTCTGAATACATTGATGATTCCAAACCTTTGCACCCAGAGGTCATGGTTGACTCAACCAGTGGCCTGGAGACGAAGGAAACAGGAAAGGAGCCGGACACAGCAGGGGCCTCTTTAACTCAACAATCAGGTAAATCAACTACTGATCAGGATAATTATAACTTCTTTTCAGCAACAGAATCAACAAGTCCAGTAGTTCCGCCAGTACCTTCTGACAAGGAGAAAACATCAGACCTTAAAGCATCAGATAGTCAGATAGCAGAAGATTATGGTGAGGAGCAGCCGGGACTTACCACCATTCCATACATGGAGTCTGAGAATACACCCAAAGACTCTCCACAACAAACAATTCCTCTGTGTCCAGAAAGACCACCAGACCCAGCTTCCAAAGTTCAGTCCCCCACTGATTATACAGCTGCTCCCAATTTAACGGATTATATCGAGAATTTATGGAGAAACACAGAAGAAACGAAGAAGAGATATTTGACTCTTGATTTTCCTGGTATGGCAGTCAGTCAGACATGTGAGCTAGAGCTAAAGCAGCTGGAAAAAGATGCTGAGGGCAACAGTCATTCCAATGGGGTTAATTCTGCTGAGCGTACTCTTGCTTTTTCTTTAGAGGGAAAGGCAGAACTAAAAGAAATAATCCCCACTGAGGAGGAAAATGTAAAACTAAACCACACCATAAGTGAGCAAAATGAGTGTGAGCAGGAAATATCACAGGGAAGAACTACAGAACATCAGGAAAGTGGTGCACATCAAGAGATCAGTGAAGCAAGATCTGCTCAAAACGAATCTGTCTGTATTTTACACCTGGACATCACCACCAGTCCTAAGGTCATCGACAACATGTGTGTCACAGGAGATAAGCCCACTAAGGAGTCTGCTGAATCAAATGGACAGGGAGGTATTGATAAAAACACTTCAGCTGAGGCCAAGCCTTTTGTGTGTGAAGAGGTTTTGGAAAACTTCACAGAATTTATTGAAATAAGCTTAATTGAGCGAGACCAAAATCATCCGATTGAGGCCAACCTGGAAAACACGCAAAGTATTCCAGATGAACATCCCGCTCTTCTGACATCTCTGGTTGATTCAGAATCTGGCAACTTGGAAAATTCTCAATTGCTGAGTGAAGTTCGTGTTCTACAGCTAGAGATACAGACTGGTCCAGAAGACAGTGAAGCCACCTTGAACCAAGAAAGAATAGAGACACTCATAGATGTCACTGAAACACCTACCCAGGATGAAGAAATTTTAGTTATCCCACAGGAAACTGCCACTGAGACCAGCGTTACCGAAAATATAGGTGATGTTTCACAAGGTGATTCTGTGAAACTCAGTTGTTCTGTTTATGAGTCAATAAAACCACATGAGACCAGAGTCATTGAAATAAGCTTGACTGATAAGGACATACATTCAAGCAAAACTGAGACAACAATAGAACTTTGCACAATAGAACAACAAAGACCTGGGCTTCCAGAAAGGACAACACCAGAAAGTTTTGATGGAAACTCAGAGGAGGGGGAAATGACTTGCATGGAATCTAAAGAGCAAGTAACTTCCCAAACCAGTGAGGAGGAGCATGAGAACATTTTAGATGTGCCAATAATAGATAAAACAAGATGGAAAACACAACCAACCTGTTCCACATGGAAAGAGAATATGCCTCAGAGTGACTCCTCTCAACATAGCTCTGCACAGTTCCAGTCAAGTGATGCCGACATGGCACTGGAGGAAAAAATGGTCATGGAGAAAGATTTCCTTAGACCACAAGAAGGGATTACTCAAGACCTTTCAAAAACTATACAAGAAAGACCCGGAGACCTCCCTCCAAGTCCTAAAGGTACAGAGTTGCTGATTTCAAACCCAGACACTCAGATGCCAAAAGATACCTCATCCGTTATAATAACAGACATGCCAAACACTAATCCAAATGACACAAGTATTCAGAGCACAAAAGAGATAGAAATAGAAGATCTGCATTCTTACGATATTGACCATGAAGAGTTGACAGTGGTAGAAACAGATGCAGCACAGCAGGGGCAGCAAAGATCAGCTGAAACTGTGAGATCTGAAAACAATAGGAAGGAAGAAAGGCAAGATGACGCTCATCCAGAGTCTCTCAAAGGTGCATCGCCTGGAGAAGTTCAGGACCACCGTATTACAGAGCAGCCCTCTACATCATTCATACAGGAGACAGAGACTTTTTCTGGGACGCTTGCTGAAAACAGAGAAATCCTTTTCAGTAAGTTTGAAGTTCAAACTGTAGAAATTCAAAAGTATCCAGAGATGGAGCCAACTATAAAGTCTGTGAAGGACTGTGAAAATAAAGTGCTTAAAGAAGCTGCTAGAGAAACCTCTGCCTCGTTGGAGTCTGAACACAGTTTGGTCCTTAAGGTCAAAGAGGATGAAAAGTCAACAGATGAAGGAGAAGAAATTATTCAACAAGTTGAGAGAGAGCCTGAAGAAAGACATGTCAATCTCGAGGTTCCACTCCAAACTACTGATGATGAAGTAGAACCTCTGGATGAGAAGTCAAAGGTAAGTCATTCTAATATTTCAATATATTTTAATATTATATCAGCTTTGTATAGTTAAAGAAACATAGCACAAATCTTTACTGTGGTAAGAAGAAGGAAAGTACCTCACCTAAGGGAGTACCTCACCTAAGGGAGCTTCTTGGACAGCTTGATTTGTCCCTAACTAAGAATGCAAGAGTTCTTGTATTGGATTCTGCAATGTAAGGTTGGGAGGAACCAGTATGGTGAAGTAAATGATAGACTTTAGGGAGGCTGAGGATCCCAAGCTTGTCCATGTGCTTAATCAATACAGGCTAGAAAATGTCAGCCTGGGTCCTTAAAGCCAGGAGCTTTAGAGGTTTGACTCTTCAGCTCTGGAGTGGATCACAAGGAGAGGTGGAGGGTTTTTCAACTGGTTCACATGGACTTTGTGGGGAAGCTCCAGGGGCCATCTGGTGTTGGGACAAGTGGAGCAGGAGTCTGATCCACATTGCTAGCAGAGGTTGCCCTAGTTGGAGCTGTCCTTGGTGCTTGTTGGACTCCAGGGCTACCATTTGTTATGGGCCCCGTTTATAACTATAATGGACGTGAATTATTAACGTAGTGCTCGGTTCTTCTGACTGCCTCCAATCAAGACCCACAGCATGCGTTACATGAGTTTACAGCTGACTATGAACAGGTCAGGATGAAGATCAGCTCTTGAAATCTGATTCCATGGTTAGTTTTAAAATCTCTTTTTGTTGTTCCTTTATTGATGAAATTATAATGTCCAGCTATAAACACGTCAGCATGGTGTTCCATGTGGCCCAAATCCTTAGCTTGTCTTACACAACAGTAGTAATAGAAAATAATTAAAAATCATCTAAATATTGTTGACCTCAAACTCTTTCCGTAACTATGCCAGACCTGTAACCTAATTTCTGAAAAAGTCTAAGTGGTCTCCAGTAACCAGCAGTTTCGTATATCAGTCCTGCAGGTTCTTTGTGCTCAGACGCTCCACTCTCTCAGTCTCTGGTATCTCAAAGTTTATCTGTCTGTTTTTGGAGCCATCTGTTCATTAGCCGCCATCTTGCTGCTAATGATATCTGGCCATTCAGGTGTGCAGGATAGCACAGAAGCTACAGCAGGTCAAAGATGAAACCCTGGAGCTTGTTTCCCAGGTAACAGAGAGACTCCTCCAGTCCACTTAGCCTTTGATTCAACCTGCAGATTCTGGTCTGAGGCTTGTGGCCTTTTATCGTGGCCTTCCTTCCAATAGGAGCCTCAGGAGAGACTAATCGCAAAAACGATGAGAATCTCAATTTATTCCTTTTTTCCCCCCAGCAGTATGGGGGCAGGATTGCATGTCCTTATGGGAGTGTCTTGGAGAGTTTGCAGAAGTTGGAGAAGTGAGTCCAATGTCAGAGCAAACCTGCATCCTCCTACACCAATGATCACAGTTAAGATCAGGATGGACATTGGTCTCTAATGTTAAAATAATATCATGATTTATGGCCCAACAGCATTTATGAGAAGACCACCCAAACTGCCAGGTAGTTTGCTCATGACAACATATCTGCTAAATGATAAATAATGAGTGGTTCATCTAAACTTTAGCATCATGTATTTCCCTCTTTATTACAAAACTACATTTTTCTTTAAAGTTTGATTGATTATTCCTTCATAAACTTTCATGCAAACCTAATCTTAAATTGCTTGTAGAAAACATGATTTTGAATCTATTTGGGGAGTGTTGGCCTAGCAGTTAGAGCCCAGCACTGTAATCTGGGAAAGTTGCAAGTACCCGTTTGATCCCAACAGCCTGCACTCTGGGTCCCTGAGCAAGACCCTTAACCCCACAATGTTCCCCGGGAGCCGCACAATGGCAGCCCACTGCCCAGCAAGGGGATGGGTTAAATGCAGAAATGGAATTTATCCATTGTGAGACAATAAAGGGATTTAGATTATTTATTCTAAAATATTTAGGTGGGTTTTAGAGTTAAGTAGATGCTAACAGGATCTTTGGAGATGGTTGAGCAAACATTACCTGATGCTGCTGCAGTGGAAGTAAGTCATCCGCACGGAACTTTATTTCAGGAAGAAGAAACCCAAACATCTGAGAAACCTTATCTGAAGGAACCTGAGAGGACCATTGTAGACAACATCTTCTCAGAAATGCAACGACTCAGTAGGACAGAAATCATCCCGCAACTCAGCAAGGTACGGTGACCATGGTCTGTTCTGATGTTTGTTTTAAAAAAGAAAGTCGTAGCTTACCTGCTAACTTTGGATTATGACACTGATGCATAAAGCAAACCTTTTCTTCAACCTTTCTAATGTTTATGGTTTGTTTCAAGGATGAATTGCAGAAGAATGTCCCAGAAGAACTGAACACCTCCGCCAGAGATCTGGGTCTTCAGCTCAGCAGACTCGCCTCCAATGTCCTTCACATTAAAAACAGTCCCACTGATCTTAGCCTGGAGGCCATGCAGCAGCAGGTGGAGGAGCTCCAGGTGAGTTCAAGGCTCTGCTCCTCTGGTTTACATCAGAAAGAAAAGCTTAAAGAATTTCTCGTTGAACAGAAAGGATTAGAGCTGTCCAAGCTTCAGAGTTCACTACTGCCACAGCTGGGAGAAGCAGACGCCATTAGAGGGAATGTTCTGGAGGACCTAGAGGACCAGTGGGCTACTGTGGCAGAAGAAGCAGCTGCTGCTATCCAGATTAAAGAGGCTCAGTTGCAGCTTGTGGCTGATTACTGCAGGCAGAGGGCAACAGCAAAAATGATGCTGAATGGACTTAATGCAGAAATCGTTACCATTAAAATGTAAGTATCTTCCATATTCCATTACTTTGAAAAATACCTGGAGGGGAACTACAACAAATACCTGTTACCTTTTCCCTGTAATCCCTTTGCTGTTTTTCTTTAATTGATTCTCAAAGGAAGTTTTCCTAAATCCGTCTTGCAGCAGTTTGGTAGATGGAAGCAGTTTGGATCTAGTTTCAGATCAGATTGCAGATTTTCTCAGATATAAAAACAAATCTATTGCCATTAACTCTATAAATATCCCCTAAATTTCCCAGCTTGTGAGTTTTTTCCATAATTCACTTATTAGTTGATAATTTTCCTAAAACCTTTTGTTTATATTTTATCATGTTTTTTTTCCAGGGAAAGGGGAAGACAGGAATAATACACATCAAGTACAGAACTATGTACATACAAGGAGTTTGTCACATACATGTTCATACAACAGGATACATTTTACATTATAAAGTCATCGTAATAATGTTGGGCTCTTAGGCCACTTTGCTGGAGCAAAGAAATACCATTCCAACCATCGCTCTAAGAGTTCCATTTTCTGGTTAACATAGGCTGTTATCTGTCCCATCTTACATATTTTCAACACAATGGAAAGAAAACACTCAGCTTTCTGGTTGTAGCCATTTCCTGGTGATAGTGTTTCTGCTGGATGTTCATTAAGTATTTGTCCACTTTCAGCCAGTCTAGAGAGGAACACATCCCAGATACAAAGTCTTAATATCCCATGGAAAATCCTCTCTGAAAATGTCTTGTAATGAGTTATGTATGTCTGAATTTTTGGGAAATCCCCAAAGACATGGTGGTGATTTGCACTTTGTTGACCACATTGTCTCCAGCAGACAGGGGTGGTGTTACTGAATTTAGATTTTTGGGATGGGGCAGTAAAATATTTAATTAAGTTCTTCCAATTAGATTCTCTCCAGGTCATTGAACTGGAGCATTTCCATATTCTTTTCCACTCTTCATTTGATATTTCACTCCCTGTTTCCCTCTCCGATTTTGCTTTAATATATGCTGTGGAGTGAGTGTTTTTCGCTGATATTTGGTTTTATATATTTGGGTGATCCAGGCCTGTAGAGCTACAATCTTGCAGCTTTTATTTGCATCTCTAGTGATGGCCTTCCTTGCCAGCATGACGTTCAGCTCAGTCCGGGAAACAAGCCACATGAAGGGATACACCTGCTGGATGGTTGCCCTCAAGGAATGGACCTGGACTCTCCTATAAATTAGAATGAATAGATCAGCCTGCAATTCTTTTATAGCTATTTTAAAAGAGCATCTTTATGTTGAAATGGAAACAAAGAAATTCAAAAAGCTTCCTTATGCATATTAACAGGGACAGTTGTAGATCAAACTGGTTAATTTGCATTTTATTATATGTTATATATAGTATTGTTTGCGTGCGTGTACAGCTGTTCCTGGGTTGGGTTCAAGAAATAACGCAAATATGGAGAAAACATGACGAAGTACAAGGTTTATAGAAACATTATCATAACGACACACACAAAAATCTAATGTAGATCGCAGATTTAGGAATAAATTTAATAATGGTTGAATAGAGAGCAAAACCAAAGATGGAGTTTGTTCTGATGGTAAATTAGTTCAATGAAGATTGACCAAACGTCACTTCCTGCTTTGAACACCTGCTGTTTCACCTGCTCTTCTTCAAACTTCAGTTAAAATGGTTAATTTCACCAACAGGTTTAAACACAGGAAATCAAGTTTAATAACAAATCTGTCGATTGCATCGACACATTGACTCTTCAGCAGTCCCACACACTATGCATGCTTGTAGCGACAGCGCACAGGAAAAACTCCCTTTGAACAGGAAGAAACCTCCAGCAGAACCAGGCTCAGACCTCTGCTGAGGTTGACTGGGGTTCAAGGAGACAAAAGTAGAAATAGAAAAGGAAACATAGATACAAAAGATTTAGATAGGTTAGGAGTTTTCCCTTAAATGCTGACATTTTCAATGATTTAAAGTGGGCACTGCCTTTGTTTGTAATGAAAAAATAAAATGCATATGCTAACACAAGTCGCCAAACAACTGCGATATGTGAGTCACATCTCAATGTGCCCTCCATTTTTTATTTTTTGTGTCTATAGCTGAGAAACAGAGCGGTTTGAACAGATTTGTTTGCCCTTTAGGTCCCCAGAAGACAGCAGCCAGAAGCAGGCAGAGCGAATATGCTGCTTCCAGAGAAGGATGGAGGAGAACAGAGTGATGCTTGGGGAGTTGCTGATAAAACAGGCAGAGATTTGTCTCCACCTCAGTCCAACGCATCAAGAAAGTGTTCAGATTGAGAAAAACAACCTGCTGGAAACATGGAAGTCTCTAGAAAGGACGGTGGAGAGCAGTCTTTATCATGCAAACGTCTATTCTCAACACATCAACACTCTTCTAGCAGATCTGAATGGTTTGCTGGAGCGCGTCGATCCAATCTGCAAAGACCTTCAAGTCAAAAGTTCTTCATTTAGTCTGTGGAGTTGCAAGGAAGCCCAACACCTGATGGAGGCAAATGCTGAGATTAAAGCAGCCAAGCAGCAATACCTTCATTTACAGCGAATGTCAGAGGAGTTAGTTCACAACTCTCAGTGGGGTCAGGATTCAGAGGAGGTAACCAACAAGCTCCAAGAGGTGCAAAACAAGCTGTGCCTCACAGAGGAGCTGCTATCCTCTCAGACAAAGAACAGCAGCAGCCCTGTTATGGAGAAAATGGTTGCTGTGATGACACATGGCCTGGCATGGGCCAAGCAGACAGAGAGGGACATTGAGGGTCGGAGGAGGTGGGTGCCATTACTTCCTGAAGAGGTTCACCGGCAGCTCAATGACCTAAAAAAGCTTCAGTCTGAAGTGACGGCAAAACAAGGCCAGCTGGAGCTACTGGTGGAGGAAGTGACTGAACTGCTTCCTCAGCTTGACCAGGCTCAGGAGGTGCCATTTGTACAGACTTCTCTTACAGGCCTTGAAGAGCTTTCAAAGTCCACCACAGCCAAGCTGTCCAAAGCTATCAAGGAGGTGGAGTCTGGACTCCAGATCAGAGAGAAGCTCTCTGAGCAGATGGCTGAGTTGGACTCCTGGGTTGGGTCTTACCTGCAATCAGAGGTCTCCAGGAGCACAAAGAGAGAAGCTATTGGCCACAGTGATATGGATCAGGAAGTTCTCCAGGTCCAAGAAGGCCTGGCTGAGGCGGAAAGGCAGGCAGCCATCTGTGAGGCTCTGCTCATGACCAGCAAAGACATCGCAGTGGAACTCAGTGCGATGGAGAACTTCCAGCTTTTTGACAAGATCTGGAGGCTTCAGGAAGATGTCAGAACCATCATCAGCCATGAGAAGAACCAGAAAGAGCAGCTGGATCATCTCCTCATGGCTGCAGAGTTAAGAAGGAACTCTTTAGACAGTATTGATAAAAGTCTGAGGCAGATGTTAGCCGAGATGAGCGGACTGAAGTTTCCCATCACCAAAGAATCCCTGAAACTCTTAAAGCCTCTAAAACTCAAGCTTTCAGAACACAAGTCCCAGGTGGACCTCCTGATCCCGTGGACTCCTCCAGAGAAGCTCAAGGAAACAAACGATGCATTCTCTCAAGTTCAGAGCAAAATAGCATCATTAGAAATGAAATCCAAGGACCATGAGAATTACCTGAACATGAAGCAGCGTTTGGAGACGGTGAAGGAGGACATCCAGCAGCAGGTTCTCCTGACCAGCGATGACAGCAGGGAGTTGATGGACCGCTACAGAAGGTGCCTCAGCCTCTTCCTCCAGTTTCCTCAAATTAAAGGACTGTGTGAGGAGGCCCGCTCCAACCTTGACTTGATCTCTGCAGACCTTTATTCCTCACAGCTGGTTGCTGAGCAACAGACCATTAGACAAACCGAGGAAGTCCTGAACGCCTTGGAGATCACTCTCAGCAACAATCTGGGTCTCATTGAACTAGATGCGCTCAAAGGGCTGGACCTTGAATCAGTGAGGAACTCCACTCAGGACTTCCTCTGGAGGATCCTCAAAGAGCTTCAGGGCGCTCCTACGTTGGAGCCCAGCCAGGTGACTGTGGAGAGGGAATACTGGAGACTCCTGTCTCTGAAAAAGGCCACAGAGCTGCAGATGAGGGCGCTGCAGGTCCTGGAGCAAAAAGACGGTGGCGACCAGAGGAAGCAGGAACTGATGGACTTAAAGAATTCCGTCTTAAAAGAATGGAACTCCAAAATGGTAAGTCATGATTTCTGTTAGCCGTAAATAACCCTTACAGGTTATATGATCCAAAACCATCCAAAGATGAGGAAAAATGTCTGAAAATAAATGGATTTACTCTTAATTTGATCAGGTAAATATCATGGTCTGCCAATTGAGTATTTTAACCTTAAAATAAGAGACTGCATTTGTTTTTATTTTAAGTATTACTTGTCCAATTCCACTGGAAAAGTTTAACTCTCTCATATTTGTTCAAAGAATTGACATCTATGAACAGTTTTTATATTAGTTTGTGTTGCAGAGTGAAGGTCTCAGGGGACGTAGGGGGAATGTCTGCAGGGATTAGATTATGGGTTATCCTGTTTCTGCCTTTCAGATTAAATAGAGAACTGTCAGTTTTGGTGGAGGTTTTGGGGTCCCAAATGCAGAGAGGAGTAGGCATGGATGAGTTTGGATGGTTAAATGAAGTCAGAGGGAAACAGAGGCAAAAATACAAAATACAAAAATACTGAAAACCAAACAAAACCAATAAACGTCATGAAAAATACTCAGGAAGCAACTAAACATCTTCAAAATGCAAGAAACCAGCCCTGAATGAAGGCTCTGGTCCTCTTTTATGCCCAGCACTATGATTTTAAAGATCTCTTTCACCTGTGTAGGCTACCCAAGTTCTTCACAAAGATCCTCTATTAGTAGAGATGCACAACTTGCACTAACCCACACAGGAACCCTGACAAGAACATGATAACCAGACTTATTTTGGGTATTTAGGATTTCCAATACTAGTTCATTTTTTATGCTCACCTTTGCTAGGAGCTCTACCTTATTTTTAGTACTTTTCTTAGTGTTGGCATTAAGGTTGTGCCGTTGTTTTAAACTGTTACTCGTTCTTAACCAGAGGCATCAGTTCAGTAAATCCCAGCTTCCAGTGATTTTTCACCTCTGCTTTATTGAAGCCCTCCAGTCTTTTTCCTTTGCCGCTGGGTTCTTTAGTTTGCCTCTCATCTCCACGCCCTGCAATTGCTCCTTTCCAGAATATAGTGAGCTTATTGTTTCTACTTAAACTCTTCATCTCGGCGTTGCTTTTGAAGACTCCTCTGCACTTTGTCTTAATAGAACATCAAACATCCTGATTATTTCTTTGTGAATCAGAGGATTAAGTTGTATTTTAATCGGGTTATTGGCTGTTTTTTTTTCCATATGTTCTGATTTAATACATGAAATGAAATATTTAAAAGCCCCATCTTTTATTTCTTCATGCTGTAATTCTTCAGTCTGAAATATTTAATGAACCAAACCATAATCTGTTTTATTTTCAGGAGGAAGTTGTGAAAACCAGAGAGAGCTGGAGGAGCTACACCCTGACAGTGAATAGAGCAGCTCAGTTCCTGCATGACATCGAGGTGTCTCTGCTGCCTCTGCACGGTTCTACCGGGCCATGTTATGAATCCCAGGAGGAGACCCAGGAGGCTTTGACCTCCCTGCAGAATCAGTTTCAGAGCCACATTGAGAAGCTTCAGGAGCAGGAGGTGGTGCAGACCTGTCTGTCTCCACAGAAGCTGGAGCAGCTCCAGGAAACGATCCTCAGCCAGCTCCTGGTTCGGATGTCCACACTGCTGGCAAAAGGACACATTAGACTGGAAAATCTCTCCAGGTAAATCTGATTTCTGATGGAAGAAATGATTTATGTTGTTCTAAAGATGTTATCATTGACCAAGTCGCTCAAAGAACTGTGATTGCGGATCTATTTTGTGTGTTTCTTGCTGCTAAACCTGCTCATGTTTCCAAGTTCCAGACTTTACTGATTTATTTGGGTTTTTAGTGAGTGACCAAAGAAAAAGAGTGAAGAAAATGATAGGTGGTTTTCTGTCAGGTGAGCATACCTCGTCAGACCAGCATACCCATAGTCAATACGCATGCACAATATGTCAGATTTGAGTTTATTCCTTTAGTCATGTACAAAAAAAGCAAAACAATTTAAGTTCAGGTCACCATATGCTTAAAAAAAACACCAAAAAGTAAGTATTTAATTGTCTTTTTATACACGACTAAAGGGATACACACCTGTTGAAGTAGTTGAAAGTCTATTTTTCGTACAAATTCAAAGGGATAAACTAAAGGGGTTTTGCTCATCTGACAGTACAGCGGTTGTTAATTTTTTGAAATATAGATGCAGCTCTTCTGGTTCTGTCCTCAGAGGTTAATCAAGCCTCATGCAGAGAGAGTAACCCAGCAGGCAGGAGGTTCTGTTTAAAGAAGCTTTAGCTTCTAGAATAATCTCACAGGGAATGGCCTACCTGCAGACCTACCAGTACATTAAGGTCCAACCAGACTGGCCATTGTGGCTCTGGTTGTAGATAACTGTGCTCTCATGTAAATGTAAAGGTTCTCTTGTTATGTGCACCAAATTTAAAATGGAAAGCTTTATTTGAAAAACCAGCACTGCCTCTTCATCCCCAACAAACCATTAGCGGAGTGACACACGGCAACATGTAGCATCATTATCTGCTCAGAGCTGAGGGAAGATAGATGGAGCTAAATCAGAACAGGCTGCAGGAGACCACGGAGAAGACCATGAACATCTGCTCAGTGGTGTAACGCAGGAGGACATGAAAAGTAAAGACTCGTCCTCTCAGTCAGACACTCTTTGAATCTGGTTTGGGAGTCAGAGGTTTCTTAGTTTGGTGGGAGAAGGCTCATGGTGTGGGATAAATTCACAGTAAAGGAGGATTAAGGTGGACCCTGACTGAGGACAATGGAGCTCAATGAAGACCTGGTAGAGCAGGTCTGGTCCGTGAGAACTTTGGCTGGAGAGTCAGGCTGAAGGAAGAGTTTTGGGTTGAATAAGGCTGAGACTGACATCAGGCCTTAGGTCCAACATCAGGGTCTGGCCCAGACTTCCTAGATGCTCAGCTTTGTATTTAGAAACCCAAGATCCTTTTCCTCCCATCTCCCGTTTCTATTACAATAATTGTTATTGTTAGATCACAAAGAGGTGCACTGTACCTGTGAGTGGCTAAATCCTAGGCTAGCATCCCGCTGCTAATGATATCTGGCCTTTCAGGTGTGCAGAGCATTACAGAAGCTACAGAAGGTCAGAAGATGAAACCATGGAGCTTGTTTCCCAGGTAACAGAGAGACTCCTCCAGCAGATGTCCCAGAAGGTCACCTGTCTGTCTGACTGCACTGACCAGGTGGAAACACTCACAGTGAGTATTGAGCGATGAATTCATCCTGGAGTTCAGATATCCTTCATCTTTACCGAAACCAGTTTCACTAAACCCCCACAAAAAGGCTGCATTCACACTTCAGGCCTTAATGCTCAATGCAGATTTGTTTTTTGCGTTGCCGTTCACATTTACATTTCTATACAAGTCGCACAAATATGTGACTTGTATAGTATAGAATAGAATAGAATAGAATAGAAAAGAAAAGAATGGATTAGTGTAGTATAGAATAGAATACAAAAGAATAGAATATCTCTTTATTGTCCCTCAATGGGGAAATTCTGGTGTTTGCAGCAGCAAAAAGATTATAGAAAAAATTATCACACAAATGTGGACCTTAGAAAAATGTATAAGAATAACATAATAGTGAAGAGGTAATAGATAAACAATAAAATACTGTAAATTGTTTTAACAATATAAAACTGGCAAATAAATAACCAATATACTGTATAGCTATGAACATTTTTACAGTATGTGATCTCTTGTGTAAAATGCATTCATAAGGGACTTAAGCGTCCCCCATGCACAGTAGAGGACGTAATGACGTCACAAGCCAGCTGCTCTATGTTTACGGAAGTACTGTGAACACAGCGTAAACATATAAGTCCATGGATGTAGTGCTGGAGCGCATCTAGTGATCTTTCCTAACTTTAAAAACTAAATTATTTCAAGATAGTTAAGAATAAAGACTGATATCTGTATCGTTGTCCGCCATGGTTGTTTTTCTTGCCGCTTCTGCTTAGCTAGAGGCAGAATGGTGACCTTTGTCGGGTATTAATGGCATTCAGGTTGGATGGATGTGACCTGGCCGTTCAGACACAGTTCACATTTAAAAAGATCAGATTCGTATCGGATTCAGGACCACAGACCCAAGTAACCTGGGTCGCATTGGAAAACATAACATCTGCGTTTTTCAGACAACCATGAAAAGATCAGATCCAGGTGGCATATGGGCAAAGAAATGGGATTCGGGTCACTGCAGGCTGCTGAGTGAATGTAGCCTAAGTCTGTCTCTTGCTCAGGCGCTGTGTGACGAGATGGAGTCCATCCTGAGGCGTCTGGAGAACATGACAGAGTGGTGCTCAGAAACGAGCTGTCGAGGAGGTCGGGAGGCTAAGATGGCCGCTGTCTGGAGATGGATGTCACGATTACATAGCGGCATGCAAAAGCTGACAGCTCGCAGTAAAGGACGAGTCACAGAGTGGATGGACGTCACCAACAACGTAAGGAGACCAAGGAAGTTCATTATCATTGTTAAGAGGCATGCTAAGATCCATGAGCTCAGCGTAAAGCTTGGAGGAGCTCTGATCATGCTAACCAACTTAATGTGGACTTTTCAGCATATAATTGTTGGTTTAATGAAATGAAGTGTGTTTCTGTCAGGGATGGAGGTGTTCCTCAGGGTTCTACTGTTGGTCCTCTGCTTTTCTAGACTTTACAGATTTCCTCAGCTAATACAGTTCTATGGATAAATGCAGATCACACCTTTGTACATGAAAAACATTCATTAGGCATTCATTAAAGATTTTAGGCTGGCGGCTTCATAACAAGCTGCTCTACTTACGGAGGAACAAAGGAGGAGACTCAACCTTCACCTGACCGTCTACCTGCTGATGGAAATGAGCCCCTAAGGCTGAATCCTCCATGTTTCTCTGATGTGCTGGAGATAATGATGTTTATTTATGTGCAACCCCTAACCCATTAGATGTCATAAAGGTGGATGAATGGAACGCTGATTATTGGTTGTGCTGTTTAGGTGGAAAAAGCCTCTGCTGTGTTGGAGAAGGTGGAGGCAGAGCTTCCTTGTGCCTCTGAGATGGAGGCCTCCACCGAGGAGCTCCAGGAGCTGCTGCAGTCCTGGGAACAGTTCCAGGAAAGGCTGGACTATGAACACAGAGCCCTGTCTGCTCTGGAGCTGCGTGCAGCCAGGCTGCTGGGAGTCCCCGCCCATTTGGAGCAGGCTCCTCCCATTCCCCTCTGTCAGCACCTTCAGCTGATGCAGAGGCGATACAGCAGGTACGTATAGTGCAGAGATTCCTGCTGTGCCTACCTCTAAATGCTGGGAATAGATTAGTTTGGTGCTTTAGGGAAGCAGATAACCAAAACTCTGCTGCGCTCTATAAAACTGTTACAAAGTTTCCATGGAAACATGTCTACATCTTCTACAGCCTTTAAACATTTTAACATTTCATCCTGATACAGCAAACACTTTTTACTGGAAAACACATTTAGAAATGTAAGGAGATAAATGCTGTTTGTCACATAATAATCTTTTCAGGCAGGTATTTCATCCCAGTAGCTTTCAGTGGGAGGACATCTCTACCAGCTTACATTTATTAAGGGTTGTCCAGACAAACATAGGAAAAAGGAAAATGAAACTGCCGTAAACAGGACAGATGGACCTAGAATTCATGCGAGTAAGACAATAGGAAGGTTCAAAACGTTTAATGACAGAAATAATTAAACTGAACAGAACAGAAACGCGGGCAGCAGCAGCTGCAAGGGGGCGGGGCGCAACCAATCACTGGCACTCTGGATGTGAGAGAAACAGGTAAGTGACCACAATCATCTGACAGGAGATGATTATCAGAGTTAGTCATTTACCCGGGTTAACAGTTCAGTCTTTTCTCTCAGAGGAAGTCAGGATCCAGCCGATGGAACGCCAAACAAGATGCGATGCTGAGCCGTCCAAAGTGTACATGATGCAGCAACCCCATTGAGCAGGCAGGAGACCAATTCAGATCAGAGAAACAGTTCAGAAAGGGACAGTTTGCAGATCCACTAGTCCGTAGCTCAACCAGGGGATTTCGATCCAAACAGGAAGAGGCAGATCCAGGGTTCCGGGAATCCTCAGAGCATTCATTCAGGTCCAGAGTTCTATGAATCCAGCAGTGAGATCAGACAGAACACAAACAGGTGGAGACAGGCAGGCTCAGTGGTTGAGATGAACAGAGACAAGACATGGTACCATGATAAATGCAGAACTTTTAACTGGTCTCCACCTTGGAGCCAGGATTACGGGACTAAAACTGACCTCCCCCACGTTCCGAACCAAAACCCTGAGGGCTCCACGAAGAAGAGTCGGGACACGATCAGGAGACAGGAGACAAACAATAAACCCTCTAAATCCTCTGGGCTCCAAGACTCAGGACAAGAACCAGGGACTTAACTCTCATGAAACAAACATAAATAACTGACACAACAACATAACATGAATAAACAAAGAATAGACAAATACAGTACAAATACAAACGAATAATGATCTAGCCCTGATAGCTGGGCTGAACTGTATCAATAGCAGGGGGAGCAGGTGAATAAGATCAATGATACTTAGAGGCGGGAAGGGAACAGCAAGTGAATGAAGTGAGTAATTAGATTAGCTACTGGGACTGCGATCATGACAAAGTGTGAATAAATAACCAATCAGGTGGTTTATTGTTGTCATGACTCACCATATTCTGACAGAAGCTCTGTAAAAACTGTCCCCAGGCGTGTGAATCCTCTAGCATGGTGTTGTGTTTTCAGGGCGGGGCAGAAGAGCAAAGAGGGCTTACTGGGTACCAGACGGGAGCTGGAGGAGAGGGAAAAGCTCAGAGAAGATCTGCAGCTTCTCCGTGTTTGGCTGGACACTGCAGAGACTCGGCTGTCAGAGATGGAAGAGGGCAGCGGCTCACAGCAGCTTCAGGTGAGGATCTACAGCTGTGTCTTCTCTCTGTCACTGCTTTAAACCAGCTTTTTACCAGCTCTGGTTCATGGAAGCAGAAGAAGCTTTCCCAAATGAAACAGTAGCAGAAAATCTACCTACTTATCTGATCTACTGAGCTGTGTAGTAGATCCATCTATCTGAGCTTGCCTATAAGCTATCAGCCCCTTTATGAAGGCGGGACTTCCTGACAAAATGCTGCTCTCTAAGTCCCCCAAAATATATCTGTTTTTTTTTCATAAAGCCTCTTCAGAAAGAAAGATTGGATATAGGTCTATAATTGACCAAGTCATCTGGGTCAAGAGACAGTTTCTTAAGCAAAGGTTTAATTACAGCAACCTTAAAAGCCTTTGGTACATATCCCTGTAACAGAGATAGATTTATCACATCTAAAATGGAGGAGATCATACCTCCTTAAATAACCTGGTTGGTACTGGATCTAACATCCAAGCTGAAGGCTTAGATGAAGACAATAGTATTGCTAACTCTGAAAGTTCAACTGGATCAAAGCAGTCTAAACCCGGTTCAGATTCTAAGGCTACCTCAGATGCTGCCCCACCCTCCAGAGATAAACCAATCGTAGATAGAGGAGTGCCTGTTGAAGAGTCGTTGAGGGTGACAGTAGTGACTAATTCACCAGGAGCTCTGCTAGCCCCTCTCAGGGGGGTTTACCTCAGACAGCATTGTCACTCGAATCATCCATACAACCAAACTCTTCCATCATATTCAATTGAGTGCATTTACCCATTATGCCTGTTAAAGGGTCTTTACCAGATTTTTAAGCCAATTCTGAGAATTCTAGCTCTGTAATTTGGGCATCTATCCGGTTCTGACTCATTAGTCCACAGCTTCATCTGCCAAATACCAAAAACATTGAAGTGAATGTTTTTTGGACCAAAGCTGTTAAGTAGATCCTAAAGATGAGCCCAAAACAGACGTGGACCGTTTCTAAATCAGCCTCCTAACATCCTTCTAACACTGACACCATGTGATTGGATCAGAAGGACTTTGATGAATTCCTGTAATGTTGTTCAATTTGTCATCGACACAGATTGATCCATTGAATCCACCAGAACTCTTGATCGGTAGAAACCATGAAGAGTCTATTTATTCTGTGATGCACTGAAGTTCTTACCGAGTGCATCCTTCTCATTCTCTCCTCTAACTGTCAACACATTGAACAGATTTATCCTGCTTTTTATTTCATTTTATCAACATTCATTCTTGTTGTCAATAAACCCCCTTGACTTACTGTTGCCAACAGTCCCACTCATTCAGGGTTAACTTGCTCTAGATTTTCTAATCCTCTCCTGAAATTGTCAGAATAACTAGAAGAGTCTTTCTCTGTGAGACACTGACTGATTATTCCTTTTGATCTTAGTTTCCATGGCATTGTTTTCTGATTGTAGGAGTTGTATAGAGAAATGTCTGCCCACAAGGCCATCCTACAGCACATTACGGACAGTATTAGGACAAAGTATGCTCTGGTTCCCACTGAGATTGACGGTCAACTGCAGGAAATCACGAAGTCGCTGCATCAAGTGGACACAAAGGTAATCACCGGAATCCATTTTAAGGTCCAAATGTGTCGCCATTTCTGGATTATTGGGTAAGCTTCAATGATCATATTGGTAAGTTGATGTGTCTAATTGTCTTAGATTAAAAAAAAGGTTGGAAGCTCATACTGGTATGGATGTAGAGATCAATGCCTTTTTGTTCTGTAAACTCTACGAGATCCAGCACTGGTAACCCTGCAGCTTGAAGATTAGATAAAAGCGTAGGATTGGCCGAAATGTTTGGATTAAGAGAGGATTTCTTAGTAAAGGTTGATTATAGGTATCATGCAGTGCTCCTTCTCTTCTTAGATGCATGATCTTTGTCCCTAATTGGTCCATCAGGTAGCAGAGGCTGTGGAGAGGAGTGGTCCTGTTCAAAGACTGGGGACCAAGCTGTCTGATGTCCTGGCTGGCCTGACATCCGTTCAGGACAGAATGAAGGACAGGAGCCCCACTGTGGTTGAAGCAAAGGTGAAACAGAAGGTGGGTGCCTGTTTGTGGAGGGTGGGTTAGAGATATACCCCATTTACAATACCCTTGAAAAACCGTGCCGAGACCAGTCCGAGCTCAGTAACTGAGATAACTTATCATTTGTAAGTGGAAAGCAAACTGAACTGAACCGAGCTAGACACAACCGAACCGAGCTAACTCTAGACAAGTTCCAGAGGTGGGCTCGGCTCGGTTTTTCCTTGGCTCGGTTCTCTGATAACAAGAGCGCATGAGCAGAATGCGTTATCTCCGTCTGGCTGCACATCCCGATTCACACTCCATTCCAGTAGTTGGCGGTAATGCCCCTCCGGAAGATGTTTGCCAACCAACACAAAACAGAAGAACAACAACTATAAGCAACATATCCACGAAAGGTTGCCGTCTTCGCCTGACCCTCCGCAAACACCGAAGTACAGCAATAGTAATCAAGCATAACTTTCTGAATCTGGCGCCGCCATTTTAATTTGTTTGATTCCCTCCTTCTTCGTCTTCTTCATCATATGTTTTATGGCGGTTGGCAAACAACTTTTGGTGCATTACTGCCACCACCTGCTTGATTTCCTCCTTCAATACTGGCAATAATACCGCAGATCGTCACTAAGAGGCGAGGAGTCGAGGAACCGAGATAGCATGATGTGTAAACGGTCGTCGGAACCGAGCTCGGATCAGTTAACCAGGCCGAGCTCTGTTCTGACGACCGGTCTCGGCATGGATCGTTTTTTCAAGGGTAGAGTAAATGGGGTAATAAAGTCCCTTAATAGACCTCAAAGACTATCTGTCTGTCCAATTAGCGACTTATTGCTATGAGGATAATTGACATCCTCTATCACTATTTACCTCTTAATCAAGTTGATACCTTAATGAAAAAGTTGATAACCTGCAATCTGTCTGTGATCAGCGTGTTTGGGATGAGCTGGATGTTTGGCACTCCAGACTGGCAGCACTAGAAGTGGAGATGCAGGATTTGGAGACGCCACAGGAGATGCTGGTCCTCACAGAGAAACTGGTGGAGGTCCAGCAGCTTCACTCCCAGGTAGCCAAACAGGCGGAGCAGAGGACAACTCTACTCAGCAAGGTGAGAAACGCTCCAAACCAGTCTGACATGTTCATTGGCTGGCTGTGCACAGCCTGGCCACTGTTGCTGACTCCAGCCGCAACAATCACAGCGAGGAAGGCGGGACTGAAGAACGTATCAGAGAGCTCACCCTACATCCTCAGATGTTTTAGGCAAAACCTGCAGAAATGGTTCACTGGAGAGTTCTCTGATAGTTTGACAAAATGACAGAAACAGTCGTTAGGTAGAAACTGAGGCTACATCTGTAGTGATCTGATTGGTTCTAACCGGATGAGGCTTACCTATTAGTCCCACCTTTGAAATCAAGCCATATCAGTCCTTTACCAGACTGATACTCTGTCTATATGCCATATATCTACCTTCCATATCAATGCATTTTCCACTATGTTTTTTACTTTTTTTTCTCCCACACTGTTTACATTTGATCACTGCTTCACTTAATGAAATGTAAATGTTAATTTGCTCTCTGACAGCTGTACTAAACGAAATGTCATTTTGTATACACTGTTTATATAAAATGACGATCGAAGTTATTTAAGTCTAAATGCCTCCCTAGCTGTTTGAAGCTGTAGGTTGATAATGTCATGGACTAGAGGAGATAAAGGCTAAGCCTGTAGCCGGGACCAAACATGCTGATCAAACTTCCTGCTGAGGTGATTGTGTTCCTCCTCAGATACAGACGTGGCTTCGGGAGCACCAAGAAATGATCAAGAGCTCAAAGACCTGGATAATTGAGGCTCAGTCGTGGCTTGCCGCTCCCTGCACCTACACCACGGCTAAATGTCTCAGCAGCCATGTTCACGCTCTGCAGGTCACTGCTGCTCTGATCGCTTCTCTATTTTCCAACCTGGATCAGTCCCAGAATTCTGAAGGTGTGTTTTTATGCTTCTTCTTGTGGCGTTGCTGTAGATTGTGCTGGGTGATTCGTCCCAGATCCGATCCACGCTGCAGGGCTTCAGCTCCGTCCTGAAGGAGATGTCCCAGGTCTGTGATGTCACCGCTCTCCAGGACCAGCTGCTGGAAGCAGACCACCGAGTGGCTGAAGTTCAGGACAGCTTCACAGCTCCTCTGTCTCAGCTGGAGCACGCCGCCGCTGTGAGATTCTCTTTTAGGGAAACCTTTTTATAGATTTACTGACACCAACAGCTTCTGATCCCGTTTATCTCAGTTTAATATTTAAATTTACATCTAAAGGTTGAAAGTTTTTTAGCCGGTGTTGCGTTTCCAGTCACATTGACGTGTTGTATGATCAAAGGAGGTGGAGGCCATAGAAGATGAAGTACGGCGGATGGACGGCGATGTTGCTGAGATCAAGGTGCTGCTCTCATCTCCAGAGACGTTTCCCAGCCCCAGGGAGGATAACCTGAAAGTGAGCCCAGAAATCAGACTCTCAACAGATTGGTCGGTTATATTTTATTCACCCGGTTGCTCTCCTGCTTTGCTCAGATGATCGAGCAGAGGATCCAGTCAATGAGAAGAACAGTAGCTGAGATCCAGAAGTGCAAACCAGGCCTTTGTCTCCCTGAGAAGGCGGAGGAGACGCTGACTGTCTTCAGTGTGGTGGAGCAGCTCCAGACGCTGCTCCTGGACCTGGAGAAGGTTTGTTCAGGATGTCAGGCAGGCTGGGCTGAACCGGCCCATCCTAAAGGACGTGTTCTTATTTTACAGAAGGTGCCGGCCCTGTTCCTCCAGCAGCCTCCCAGTCAGGCCAAAGAGACACAAGAACTCCACCCACCCACATCTGAGGTATGTTAATGATAATCATCTGAGGTTGTCACTACTCCTATCTAAGTATCTTTTTACTCCTCCCACCAAGAGTAACCTGAGTTATTTACACATCAGCTGAAAATCTAGGAAACAGTAGATATGGTTGCTGGAATTTCTTAATCCTTTACTGACATAACAAATATTACCTACTGATTAGTTTTATATGTTTGAGCTGAAAAAAATATTTTAAAAGGTTTTTCTTCTGCTGCAATTAGTTATATTTAATCATGTTATTAATGTTTTATTTTATTTTATACTTTAGACACCATCATTGACATAACTCTGTCTGATTTCATCATGCTGGCGCAGCTTCCAGGCTGCTATGATTCCTTGATTTCCTGATAATAAAGGTTATTTTTTACAGTGGATGAAGTCGTTCCTCTAGTTAACGCGCCTGAAGATAGTTTTTGATTATCTGAAACAGTTTCCACAGAAAGAACATGAATGGAATCTGTAGGGAACATGTAGCGACGTGTAATGCAGAGAAAAAAGGCTCAGCCCTGCGTCGGTGTGTTCTCTGTCCTAGAAGGAGGAGCAGGGCCAGATTACAGTGGTTCATTTTGAGGAGGACATCCTGAGCAGATCTGGAGGAACTCTGCAGACTGTGAAGCAGGCTTCTCCTGAAGAGAGACGGTCCAGGAGCCCCGACAGCATTCCGGTAAGATCCCAGCCTTCAGAGCAAAGGAAGATATATCCTCATTGTTTCCACGCCAGAATTAAACAGACAAGTTTAATCTGCTGTGAGAGAGACGACCATGGAGGGAATGTGGCTGGTCTGTAAGGCTGTCTGCATGTGCAGAATAGTTTGACTATCCCAGATCTGTGTGATGAACAGAGATCTGCTCTCCTGCATGTTGTCCTACTAACTGGCCTGCTGATAGTTTGAAGTTGGAATCTATTTTGTTCTTTTATCAAACAGGGAAAATATTTGATCCTTTTCCCTGATGAATGAAGGACTAACTTCTGTATTATTCCACAGATTATTTTAGATACTATCCCCCTGGATACAAGCTCCTCCTCTTCTGGTGAAGATGAGTGAAAACATTAAAGGAAATGTATTTTGTATTGATAGAGTAGAAACCCAGACATAATAATAAAACCCAGAGTTTAGTTCAACTCTACTGACTGCCAGAGGGTGGAGCTGAAAGCACTAAACGTTCCCTTATCACATGCGCAGTAATTATACCAACAGAGTGACACCTGTGACGCCCTGGATGACCAATCAGAAGCTATAGATGCTGGCCTCATTGAGAGCGTGGTTCGCCTTATATGTCATTAGCTTTTTTGGACCATTCTTTCCTCGGTTCCGTGTTGCTAGAAGCCCTGTGGCCTACTGGCGACAACAGCTTGATCTTTTTATGGGACTTTAAGGCCTGCATGCTGGATGTTGGTGAAAAGTTTCCAACCTCAAGATAAAACAAATCAGAGTCAAGGATTTGGGCCTGAGTTTGTTAAAAGCGGTTTGGTGAAACAGACCTCAAGCTGATATTTCAGGAACAGACCAGATGAAGCTACTATGAGAAAAAGCAGAGAGAGCAG